ATGGCTATCTATCAATCAAGCAAAGTCTGTTTTGTAAATTTTCAATTTTATAGTATAAATTCCTGGAAAAAGATGGCATCAGCAGATGATAAAAAAAAGTGAAAAAACCCCCCCACACCTTTCTGTTTGTGGGTTTATGTTAGGTATTGTAGGGGTACTAATAATGTCAGATATTGTGGCACTGCCCATCCAAAAAGAATTGTTTGGGGCATGAGAACTGGGGGAGTTTGAGGCAAAAGAGCAAGTGATGTGCTTGAAAACTGAAAACTTGGAAATGGCTGAGGAAGAGTAGCACAGTTGACTGATGTGCTGAGAGGAGAAGAGAACTTAAAAGTGGAGAAACATGTGTTCTTACAGATTTCTGATGTATTATGATGGCTCATGAATTTGGTGGCAACTTGAACCTTTTTTTAGCAATTGTGTGGAGTGACATGTTAAGGGGTGGCGGCACTGAGGATCTAGTGAGGAGAACTGCGCTGGAAGAGACCATGGATGATGTTGTGGTGGAGTCTTTGCAACTGGACTTGTTCTTTCAGTGGAATTGAGGATATGGTGGGATTGTTTGTGATGTGGAGAATGGCAAGTTCTGAACAATTGTCTGATGTGGGAGAAAGTGGAAGAGGTGTTGGACAGTGGAAGAAAAGACTGGTGCAGGTGGACACTGATAGTTTAGTCGAGCCTAAGTGCATTCCTTCGCACTTTGTATTGTCATCTTTAAAAAAAGTTAGTTTGTTGCAAAGAGACATGTTCGGACAATAGTTTTTCAAATTCTGAGGAATGAAAGTTTATTATTTTTGGTATACAAGTCATGTGGGTGCTCCAAGAAGGACTTTACAGAAGTTGACAGGAAAATGTGGTGGAATATTTTGCCATTTTACAGCTGTTAAAGGGTTTGCATTCGCCTTGTTTGTGCTTTTTGCAGTGGAGAAAAACAGGCTGTGTAATGTTCTCAAGGATAAAAACTGACTGTCAAATGTCTCAAGGGTCTACCTTGAATTTAAGAACTTTCAGTGAAGTATGATGTTGAAATCAGTAAATAGAAAGTTGTCTTTTCTGAGGAATATTGGAAACATTCTCAAATTTTGGAAAGTTATGTTGTTGCATCTGACTCAGATTTGTTTTGTGGTTACTTTCCGCGTCCTGCCCCATCATGATGTGATACCACCATAGTGTGTGAAACCAAAAGTTATGGAGTGCCACAGGTTGGAGTGGCAGGGAAGGAGACAGCCACAGAGATGTCTTTGAACCTGAAAGCTCAGTCACATAGATGTCCTTTGATCTGACATGCCTCAGCTCACAGCCTCAGTTCTCAGCTCTTTTTAGAAGGATATTGGAAGTTTATTTTAGTAGTAAGGAGTAGATAGTGGGTGTTGGTGTTATTTTTTTTTTAGGTTTGGGATATTTTGGTCCACTATCTGGGAGTTTGTCACAAGAAGTTAGGCAAAGACTGATGTCTGATGTGAGGAACAGGTTGGGGGAAATGCGCTCTGCTCAATGGTAAGGCACCTGAGACTCTCCGCAGGTACAAAAGCCACACGGCTTGTACTATATGAAGATAATGCATGAAGGAGGAGCATTCTGGCCGCAAAAGCTGGTGTGTAGGAGTCTGGAGGGTGCGAGTCCAGCAATGGTGGTTGAGAGGAGAGGAGGTGTTCATGCGATGGAGAGGGGCCATTGAAAAGGAGAGGAAGAAATTGATTACCAAGAAGGAGAATTGGTCTATTTTTATTTTAAAAATTTGGAAATATGTTGAAAGGAAAGATATTTTTCTCGGCAATAAATGAATCCTGCTTCTTCTGTCTATGATTTGCTTGGAAAAAATTGCACAAAGAGGGGGACCTGTGTATGTTTGGAGATGCTGCTCGAAAGAAAAAGGAAGTCGAGGAGTGAGCAAATGTGATATGGATATAGCTGGACTCCGATAAAGTTGAATGAAAACCACTATGGTTTTGGAAAGAGTAGTTCAAAGGTCACAAGGAAACGGATATGAAAAGAATAGCCATTGCTTGGATGCGACCAGCCTCACTCATGTAAAGGTGAGCAGAAATCCTTTGCACCGGTTACCACATAAGGTCCCCCTCTTTGTCGTCAACGGGAGCGGGAGTGAGCACGGGTCTGGAATTCGTGGCAGAGGCGACTGATGGAGGAGTTGTTTTCTTCTGCGTATGCATCCCGTGAACCCCACTCCCCGACTGCTCGTTCACCTCTCCGTGTCTCGATCTGATCAAGGTTCTCCAACATCGCACCGACGGTTCAGAACATCCGCGCCAACGTGGCGGCTGAGCACCAGGTCTCGGCGGCTAACCGTCGCCTGGCCCAGCAGCTGGCCAATCGGCCCGGAGTGCAGACGACTGCGCCAGGACTCTACCAGCAGCCACCTCCAGGGGTGCGCCAGGGAGGAAACTTTCAGGGCAACAAGATGCGGGGGAAGGTATGTTTGTACATACATCTTTTTGCATTTAGTGTTAAAATATTTGTAAAATAAAAAAAAAACAACTAACTTAAACCGTCTGATCTCCTCTCTTACCTCTTCCATTCCAGCTCCTGTCCCCCCTCTTTCTTTCTCCCTTTATCTCTCTTGCTCTCCTCTCAAGTCTCTCTGGTCTTTTTTTCTTTTCTTTCATCTGGCTTGCACCCTCTTGGTTTTAGAGAGGATTTTTTCTTGTGACTGTTTCTCATATATCTGAATATCTTCTTTTTCTCTCCTTCTCTTTCTCATCTGACCTGTCTCTGACATTGTATTTTTCTTACCATGAGTCTTCAGGATGTAGAACAAAGTGTTTTTAGGACAAAAAAGTACATCCCAGTTAGTTTTGTTAAGGGAAGTAAAGACTGCTGCACAATGTTCTAAATATATTTTGGACAGGATCACATTGTTTTGATTCTGATTCTGAAAACATAGGGCTTTTCTTTTCCATGAGTCTGCACTTTCTCTGTGTTCTTGTTTTGTCACCGTCGTTGTGTCACAGTAGCTGTGTTTTTGAAAATGATAAATCTCAGTCATGATGTGAAATATTTTTCAGGATGCAAATGAAAATCATCCAATTTGTTGGAGTTAAAAGAATACTAAAAAAAGTAAAGAACTTATGCAGTTGCGAGCGTCGAAAAACGTCTACTAAAACAAGAAGTAAAGAAGATATGATTTTCATTCAGTATATCCCGAAATCTTTGAAATTTTAGTTTTTGATCACTGCCTGATACAAGACTGTTTAAAAACCTCTTTGATAATATATATAGCAAGTCTAGCAGTATTATATATAGATTTGATTCTTATAATTAATTTGATTCCATAAAAGGAAAGTGAAAGTTATAGCTTCCCCTATGTGCATCCCCAGAGGAACCTCCAGCAGAGGTTGGGGCAGCCCAACATCAAGAACCGCCTGACCCTGCCCGCCGGGGACCAGAACAGAGGCAGGGGCCGGGGCAGAGGACGGGGCGGCAACATCATCCAAACCCAGGGCCCAGGGGGAGACAACCAGTGGAACGTCAACAGAAGAGGAAGGGGCGGCTTCTCCCCTCGTGAGTATTTTGATTGTGGTGTTGAGGATAAAACAAAACGATTTTCAGGTTAAATTAGTAAGATTTTTTTTGGTCATGTCTGTGACTTACAGTCCACTTGAGTGAAAGCCCTAGATCTAGGGCAAAACAGACAGCATAAGTTGATGGCATTGCAGTAAAGTGGATTAATTTTTTAACTGTTACAAATAGAAACACAGATTGTTGGAGGGTGTTTCGGTAGATGTTTTTATAATATAAAAATTTCCTTTCTTTCCATCGCTTTTTCTTGTTTGTTTTCCCATATTTTCCCTGCACTGAATGACCTGACCTTGCTACCTTTGCTGTCCCAATTTGCAGGCGGTGTGCGAGGCAGAGGGGTTTTCCGCGGGCGCGGTGGGATCCGCGGGCGTGGGCGTGGGACCTTCAACAGGTGAGTGCATAGACAGTTTGGTTCGTGTGTTTTCGTTTTAGTTTGTGTGTCGTCTTGTAGGTTTGTGTGACTCGTTTGAGCTGTTATATATGCTTCTATTTTCCTTCTCTAGAAGCCTGATATTTTGAAATTTCTTTCTCAACCCCCCTTGGTTTTAGTAGTTGTTCCCATCTCTGGCCTTTCTTCTTCTTTCTGTGATTTTAATCATTTTTGCTTTCCACTGTATGCATTATGACCAAAAACTTGAGTTGATGGTGTCGTAAAACACTTAAACAAACAAACAATCTGTATGCACAAAGAGTTTACTGTGAGTGGTACAAACCCTTTCGTTTGGTTCCACTAATTGTCCTGCCCTTTTCCCGGTTGTTTTCTCGTGTGTGTATGTTGATTAATGCACTTTTTTCTCTGTGGGTGGTTGGCGGATGCTCCGGTGTGGTTTGCTCCTTCTTTCCTATCAAACATCTATCCTTCTGATCTCTCCTCCTTTTTTGTTCTGTTAATCTCCTTGTAACACCTAGTCTTCAGCACTTATACGACCTTATCAGTGCTTCCACTCTTCCGTATTTTTACGGAAATCCGTACTTTTTGCCAGTTCCGTACTTGTTCCTCCTTCATGATCTACTCTCTCCTTAAAAATCTGCGACAGCGTAGGACTACTGAAATTCCGTAGCAAAAGATCCGTACCCGCCTTCGTATCGTCTTGTATAAAAGTTACGGATATTTACGGTAATTCTCTCGGCAGTAAGTTTATGTTATAGAAGCCTGCCAGATTGCTCATTTCCTGCCATCGGCCATTATTCCGCTAAGCCCCATGCATTCATTGCGGGTTGAACGGCAGTACATTTTTACCTGCAGATTGATCAAAATCTGGCGAACTTTTTGTGCCAATTTCCTCCTTTCTATCATTCCCTCATTCCGTCTATCTTCAGATTGTTGCCACGGCTGGAAAATCTGCGCGTTGATCAGGCAAATTGACTTGTGATCTTAGACAGAAAATTACTGTCAAAAAGAAACTTTTCTGCAAATTTATTGTCTAGATCTAGATTCTTGAGAAATTATCAGTGCAAAGATTCTACGGCACGGGAACGTGATAAGGGCCGCGATGAAAGAAATTTTTGCTAAAACTACTAAAATCAAGAATAATTCGAAGTGGTGTTCCGAGGTTTTGACTTGTGACATTCAGACGTGAAAATTGAGGAAAATTAAGGTATACGCCGGGTAACTGTATTGTGAAGGTATATATCTATTCATTATACCCTGGTTTGCCTTCTTTCAATGATGCGATGGCAAATTAATTGATAGTAGCAATGGAAGGGGAACCTGCTTTTAAATATTGCCAGCAATGGAAAGATATGTAGGGGAAGAAATCAAACTAGACAAAATGGTGAAAAAATAAATGTTATGGGTTGTAGGCAATCTCTTCAAACAGGCTCCCGAATGCCATTTTCAACCTTCTAAAAGCACTAAGTTTCAATTTCTTGGGGGGCTTCGCCCCCTGAACCCCCATCAGGACGCTGTCCCTGGACCCCAGACCCCCGGCAGAATTTTCCTTACTTTTCAGCTTCAGCTGGTGGAAGCACTGCTTAGTGTGTTGCAAGTGCCGTTAAACACTTACTAAAACTAAACTTACATCTATTGCTCCTTTCTCTCCTTCTCTTTTTTGTGTTTGTTACTTTCTTTTAGCACCTCTAATCTTCAGCAGTTATATATGGCCTTATTGTGTTGCAAGTGCCGTAAAACACTTATTAAAACCAAGAAAGCTATTTTGTCCCACTTGTTCTCTACAAATAATTGATTTTTGGTACTTTTTATGTTGTTTCTTTCTCCAGTTGTGTTTTTTGATTTATGGAGACTTCTCAAATGTGGGGTCTCTGGTATTCGGAATTTATTGTCTCCTGCCTATTTGAATGTTCAGCAGTTTCCTGACCTTCTCGTCCTGACTTTGGTGTCATGATTCCAATAATCCTCATGTTCTGTTGGTGGTTGTAGGGAGCCACTTGTAGGGCTTACTTCTTTTTTTTCTTCCAGTTGTTTTTGTCTGTGTTTCTTTTTCCCACTGTTTTATGAATATTTATTGTGTTGGTGTACTTCTGTTGACTCAACTCTGACGATGATTAGGACTTGTACTGTGCTTGTTACCGGCCTTTGTTGCCGCCTGATGAAAGGTTTATTCTGGGGGTTAGACGCAACAGTGGACTGTTGGCGGGTGCTCTGGTGTGGTTTGCCTCTTCTTTCCTATCAAACATGTATCGTCCTTATCTCCCGTTCTTCTTTTTTATGTTTGTTACTCTCTTGTAACAGCTCTAATCTTTTGATGCTCAAATGACCTTGTTGTGTTGCAAGTGCCGTAATATTCTCACGAAAACTAAAAAAAAAAAAAAAAAAAGACGCATTGTTCTCCAGTTGGTCTCTGCTTGCACTGTGTTGATATGGACAGGATGGAAACATGTAGCTCGGGTAGGGATAGACTTACGGTGACTTTTACCTTTTTACTTTTAGTGCCTGTGTTCCCCTGAAGCTGGAAATCTCCAAAAGATTGTATTTAACCCTTGAAGAAAGACATTTGTACCCACGTACACACATATATGCTGAGGTTGTTTATACGAACGTTTAGAAATTTTATCAAGTGATTCGGCCTTGTGTGTGTGTGTGTGTGGTTGGATGACACTACTGTGACTACTGGTAGATCCTACTTCTTTTCTCGCTCTCCGTTGCTTTTGTCTTGCTGTCATATCATTTCTCCTGCACAAAATGGCCCGAATTATATCAGTGTGCTTCTCTTTACTTGAACAAATGGGAAGATTATCAGCATCTGTCAGCTTCACGCTAGTTGAAGTGTATGCTTGGTCAAAAGGCAGACGTTTTGACACTATATCTATTGGTGAGGTGGTGATAGAGATTTTAAAAAATGTTTCTTTGTTCTCGGTATCTGAAAGTAGTGGTATAGCGAGGTATTTTGAAATTGTATTGTTTTTCACAATTTGTGTGTATCCCATCAATGGGCTAAAACGTTAATATTTTTCAAATCTTCCATTTTTCCCATTGTTGATGTTTTTTTGGTCGTAGGTATGTTGGTGGTTTTGTATTTTATCTCAATTCTCTATTTTTTGTTGATAGAAACATTCATGGCTGCATACATTTTTTCTCTTTTTTTATTTTTTATTTTCTTAGATAGTCCTTTTTAAACTGGTCTGCCGTAGTACTTAGTAGTTCTTCTGGTTTTTATGTTATACTATTTATACATTGTTGTGATGGGTGCTCTTAGTTCATGTGATTTGTCTTGAAATCCTCTTTTATTTTTCCTTATCTGTGAGAAAAATCTGGACAGTGAAATTGTTTTTCCACCAGCCACCTGTGTCATTAAAGTATCAGAGGTTTTCAGAATTTAAACATTTTTTTCAATTTTTCTTTCAGTATAGTATCCGTTTATTAATTTATTCATTCTTTTTATCTATTTATTCATTTGTCTATTTATTTATTCATTTAATATGTCTATTTATTTATTTATGTGTTTCTATTTTATTTATTCATTTATGTATTGTGAATGTAGGTGTGTACTCATCACTGAAGTATCTCAATCTCCATTCCTCATCACGGCCATTTCTCCTGCGTGTTGAACACTTTGTTGTTGTATGCCGCACCCTGATACTCCCCAGGTTTAACGAGGAGAGCTATAGGGGACTGAACTCTGGTCGCCGCCGCGGCTCCCGAAGGGGGGCAGGCCCTCAACCGGACAGGTCAGCCCAGCATACTGCATGGGTTGGACATAGCATCTGTTACCCCCCGCCATCCCCTCCTCACCCCCACCCCCGTCTGTCTCTGTGTAAGAGTGAAAACTGTTTCCGAGAGAGTTCTGCTGCTTCTTGGAAGTATTCTGTGCAGATAAAAGAGGAAGTGGAAGGATCTCCTGTACCACAGGCAGTCAAGTTTCAGAGGTCAAAGTTTATTTATTCTCTTTAACCAGTTCGAACGGAGAAGACAGAGTTGATTTACTTTCTTTAACCAGTTCGGCCGGAGAGGTTTATTTATTCACTTTAACCAGTTTGACCCTGGAGATCAAAGGTTATTTATTCTCTCTAACTAGTTGGACTTAGTGGTCAAAGCTTGTCTCTCTCTAACCAGTCAGACCGGTTTGAGAACGTAGAGGTCAAAGTTGATCCTCTCTTACCAGTCAGACCGCAGAGGTCAAAGTTCAATGTTGTTGATTTCTGTTTGATGCATGGAGACTGGGGCCCTGTCTGATTTTCTACTGCAACGCGACAGTGATTGCATGAACGAGAAATCTCCTGTCACATCTGTGTGAGGGAAGGAGTATTGGTCATCTGGGTCAGTGGTATGATAGCCACCCCCACCCCAACTGTTGACTTAACAAATTGAGGAAGCTCTGTTTTGGGACACCTTGAAAAGAGAAGCTTAGCTTCATTGTTCATATACTATATATTTTTCAAGTATTGTTCCTTGACCTGAAACGTAAAAGGTTAGGCAACAATTTGCACACCGTAAAATATGCAAATTCATGTTTCCGATTTGTGTATGATGGATGGTTCAAATGTGCCACGACAACATTGCCTTTGGTGTATTGATCAGACATGTGTGCCTGCTGGGTCCTTGAAGAGTTGGGGGTTGATAGATTGTCATGGTTTTTTATATTTGGGGGAGTTAGTGATAAGGGTGGGGATTGGGAGAGGG